CTGGATGAACGAACGTCTCTCCACATGCTCACTTCTGAGAGATAATTGTGTGTGAAAGCCGTCCTCCACCTAGCTTGAAGGGAACACAAAGTTTCTTTGCAGTTGGAAACTCAACTACATACATATATATGAGGAATTTCTTGCTCCACCTCGGTTTTCAGTGAAAATTGCAGGAAAATCAAACCGGCACTAGGAAATAATCAGAGAACCTGGCGTAAATGTGTCCTCTTTAAAAGATTCCCTTTAATCTAGGAGAACGATCTTGCATCCACATGCTCCATTCTGAGTGTTAAGTGTTTGTGAATGCCTTCAATAACCGACCTTGTTGGGAAAACAAACTTTCTTTTCAGTTGGAAACTAAAATATATACATGTATGGGGTTTAATAGCTGCAACTCGATTTTACCCTGAAATGTTCTTGTCGGCGGACGTTCATTCATCTAACATAAATGGAATTGTTTGAAGTTGAGACTCTTTCTCTCATTTCTCAGTATGTTTCTTATTGCCGGTTTTAAGTTCTTGCAGTTCTCCCTGTTAAACCGTGTTTGAACTAGTATCTCCCCATGTTTATGTCTGTAGTGTATTTTCCCACTCAAAAGAAAGACTGTGTTCCCAACTAGCTAGGTGATTGTCAGCTTTCACACACCCTTAATTCTCAGATTTGAGCATGTGGAGAGACATTCGTTCATCTAGCATAAAAAGAATGGGTTGCTGTAGATACACTTACTCTAATTTCTCATTTTGTGTCCTAGTGCCGGTTTGATTTTCATGGAATTTTCTGTGTAAAACAGTGTTGGAAGTTGTTCCTCCACATATATACGTATGTTGTGTAGATACCCACTGAAAAAAACATGTTCCCTACAAACTAGGGGATTTATGGCTTCCCACTCTCTTAACTGTCAGAATTGACCATGTAGAGATGTTCGTTCATCTAGCCTAAGGGGAGTGATTACTATAGTAAGTATTATTCTGGTTTTTCGGTATGTTTTCCTAGTGCTGGTTTGAAGTTCATGCAGTTTTTACTCTAAACCAATTTGGAGCTTGTTCCTTTCCATATATATGTATGTAGTGAATTTTCCGACTGAAAAGGATCTGTGTTTTCCCAACAAGCTATGTGATTGGTGGCTTTCACACACACTTAACTCTCAGAATTTTGCATGTGGAGAATCTTTCGTTCATCTAGCATAAAGGGAATGGTTTGTAGTTGAATCACATACTCTGGTTTCTTAGTCTGTTTTCCTATTGCTGGTTTGAATTTCATGCAGTTTCACTGTAAAACCAAATTGTAGGTAGTCCTCCCCTTAGATATATCTGTGGTGTGGTTCCCCACTCAAAAGAAACTGTGTTTTCTCAACAAAATATTTAATTGATTGCTTTCAGACACATTCAGCTCTCAGAAATTAGCTATGGCGAGGCGTTCGTTCTTCTAGCAAAAAAGAAATGGATAGCATTTGAAAGACTTACTCTGATTTCTTGTATGGTTTTTCAGTGCCAGTATGAAGTTCATGTAATTTTCACTGTAAAACCGTGTTGGACCTCGTACCTCCCCATATATATGTATGTATTCCAGTTACCCACTCAAAGAAAACTTTGTCTTCCCTTCAAGCTAGGTGATTGTCAGTTTTGACACACATTCATCCCTCAGAATTTGACATGTGTGAAGGCGTTCATTTATCCATCTTAAAAGGCAGAGTGAAATGTTGAAACGCAGTCTCTGATTTCTCTCATGTTTCCAATCGCCGGTTTCAAGGTAATAGTAGTTTGCTGTGGAGAATACAATTGCAGCGAGTGCTGCCCCTTGGATATTTAAGTTGCGTTGGTCCCCCGACCAGAGACTCTGGCTTTCCAAGAAGTTAGGTGAAGGACGGCTCCAACACTCACACTTATGTCAGAATTGACCATGTGCTGAGGCGTTCTATCTTCCAGCATTGAAGG